GAGCGCCGCACTGTGGGAGGGTCAGTATTGAGGGAGCGCCGCACTGTCGGAGGGTCAGTATTGAGGGAGCGCCGCACTGGGTAGTATACTCTGATCTCTGGAATCCACTCCCTCACCCTTTCCCCTCATCTCTTTGCCGTCTCCCTGTAATCGCTGCTAATTATTGACCGCCCCATTCTGATCCAGGGTCTCCTTACCTGGGCCAGTGCTGAGACAACAAGGTGCAGGGCTGCATGAACACAGCAGGCCAAGCAGCATCATAGGAGCAGAAAGGCTGATGTTTCGGGCCTAGACCCTTCTGTGTAGCGCTGCTGCCAGTGCTTGACTCTGTGGAAGCTGGTGGAGAATTGGGGTGGAATTAATTGTTCAAACGCAGCGGAGTGCCTGCTTTGAGATTGTAAACTCTTGTGTGTGAGTGTGTGTGTGTGTATGTGAGTTAGCCAGGATCCTGCTGTGCTCTGTACTCTTGTGTCCCTGGGAGGGGCTGGGACGTGAGAGTTGGCACGTACACTCTTTACAGGGACATGGAATCACTGAACACACACGATCCGCACGGATCTGGGGCTCGATGCTGCTGTTGCTGGGGGCAGTGGGAACATACTCTCACCTCCCGGGGAACACATTTCTACCCCCTCAGCCCCCAGGGAACTTCCTCACACATCCCCCCAGCAGAGGACCATGGGGGAGGGGTAAGGGGTGGGGGGTGGGTAAACCTGCAAAGTGAATTATCCGGAACTGGGATCACAGACACACACATACACCCCCTTCCCCCACCCCCCGGAGGTTCCTGCCCCTGCCCCAGCCCCAGTGGTTGTGCTGATTCCGTGTCAGATTGTGTGTTTGGTTCAAGCAGGGACTCATTCCAGACCCTAACCCTAACTCTGACCTTCACTCCCCTCCGGCTCCCACTCCCTGGGGGTGTGGAATGGGTTCAGGATTCTGCCCCATTTCTCATTTAAACTCATCCCCACCGCCCCCACTCCCAGGCCAAATCCCTCTTTCAGTCTCTCTCATTGTACACCACCCTCTGTTCCCTGTCCCAGTCTCTATTCCCAATCATCTCCCTCTCCCTATTTCCTATTCCCAATCCCTCTGTCTATTCCTAATCCCAGTTCATTCACAGCTCCAGCCGCGTGTTATGTGCTGTTTACAACCAGGAGTACAAACAATGCACAAAACCCGGCCCGGATAATCAACACAGCTCGGAACGGTGTCCAAACTCCTTCTGTCATTGCTGCATCCTCTGGTTTAAAATTACCATTTAACTATGGGCCAATTAGCCTCACATGTACTGTTGGAAAAGTATTGGAATCAATTATCAAAGATGTAATAGCACAACATTTGGAAAATCATAATCTAATCAAGCAGTGTCAGTGTGGCTTCACAAAAGGATCATCATGTCCAGCTAATTTATTACAGGTTTTCGAGGAAGTCTCAACAAGAGTGGATCCAGGGGAACCAGTGAATGTGTTATGTTTGGATTCCAGGAGGCATTTGATGAGGAGCCTCACAAAATGTTGTCATAAGAGCCCACAATGTTGGAGGGAATATATTGGTGTGGCTATAGAATTGGCTCATTGGCAGGAAACAGTCAGTGGGGATAAGGGGTCTTTTTCATGTTGGTGACCCGTGACCCATGGGGTTCGACAGGGATCAGTGCTGGGACCCAACTGTTTACAATACAAATTAATGACTGGGAGGAAGGAAGTGAATGCACTGCAGAAATATTTCCAAATGACACGAAAATAGGTGAAAAGGCAGTTTGTGAGAGGGATATGAACAGTTTACACAGAGATATTGACAGATTAGGAGAGTGAGCTAAAAGTTGGCAAATGGAGTATAATTTTTGAAAATGTGAAGTTGTTCATTTTGGAAGGGAGAACAAAAATAAAAATATTATCTGAATCGAGAAAATTTCAGAAAGCTGCAACAGAAAGGGACAGTTTTTAGAATCCCTACAGCATGGAAGCAGACCATTAGGCCCATCGAATCCACACTATCCCTTCAAAGTGCATTCCATCCAGACCCAGACCCCTACTCTATCCCTGTGACTTGGAGAAACTTGTGCATGAAACACAGAAAGCTAGCACACAGGGGCAGCAGGCAATCAGGAAGGCTCATGGAATGTTGGCCCTCATTTCAAGGGGGTTGGAGTATAAGAATAGGGAAGTCTTACTATAATTGTCCAAGGCGCTGGTGAGACAACATCTGGAGTACAGTCAGCAGTTTTGATCCCATAGTTATGAAACAATTACATTTAGTTGGAAACAGTTCAGAGAAGGTTCACCAGAATGATCCCAGGTATGGAAGGATTGTTTCTGAGCAAGTGGACATGAGGAATCAGCCATAATCCCGCTGAATAGCAGAGCAGGCTCAAGGGGCTGAATTGCCTACTCCTGTTTCTTATGGTCTAAATGTTTAAAACAATTATTCTGTTTGGTTTCTAATTTGTGTGAATTTCTCCAGCCATGCTCAAAGTGGGAGCAGGAGAGAGTGAGAAATGGAATCAGATCACCAAGACTGGAAACACCAGAGAAACTCTGCATTGGGGAGGGGGGGGGGGGGGTGCAGGTCAGAATTTGTAATTCTTGGTTTCCCCTTGAAATGGTTTTCTTGCCAATTGTACTGGTGAGTGTAAGATGAAAAACTTCAGCAAAATTCCAATGTCAATTTCTAAATATTCAGTTGTGTTTCTGAACTGAAAGAGTGTAGGAATGGGATGGAGTGTTACGCCCATCAAAGAAGGGGAAGACTAAAAGGAAAGGTCTGGCACAGGGGAGAAGGTAGCAGAGGTGGATTGAAAAGTTTAGAATGAAACATAGGGTCATAGAGATCCACAGCACAGAATAAAGGCCCTTCAGCCCATTGTGCCCATCCTGGTCAAAATAACACCCTAATGATTATAGAATTTGCACAGAAGGCAAAGGCAGTGGCGATAGTTACACTGTATAGTAGGTGTTATAGAACCCTTCCAGTGTGGAAACAGGCCATTCAGCCCACTGAGTCCACACCAATCCTCCAAAGAGCATCTCACTCACACCTGCATTTTCCATGGTTAATCCACCCTAGCCTGCACATCTTTGGACTGTGGGAGGAAACCGGAGAACCCAGAGGAAACCCACCCAGGCACAGGGGGAATGTGCAAACTCCCCGCAGAGGCTGCAATCAAAGCTGGGTCCCTGGCGCTGTGAGGCAGCAGTGCTAACCACTGAGCCACTGTACCACTGACAGAATAATACACAGCTAGGTCTGAGGACAACAAAAAAGTGAAAAATAAGATTCAACCTGGCTTACAGCCAAAATACAGACAGGGCTGAGGGGGTACGTGAGGACTAATGGATTCCCTGTTGTTTCTGGGAGGGAGGGCAAGGGATGAAGGCAGAAGTCAGACACGGCTGAGGACTCAGTCACCCCCAGTGGGAAGGGATGGGGTGGGGATTGGTTGAGGGTGGGGTTGGGGATGGGTTGGGGTGGGGATGGGATGAATCCTCGGCTGGCGAAATGGTGGGGGTAGGGTTTTGGGGGTGGTCTGTTTCCGTGCTGTCTGACTCTCTGTCTCTCGTCAAACACCGTGCAGGATCCAGATCCGGATTACTGAGGTGATCCGTTCCGGGATCTCAGTCGTTCTCTCCACATCTGGGCAGAGTTAAAGGTCCGAGCGAACCGCGGTTTTTCAGATCGAAGCCAAACCGGAGCGGGATCGCACCGGGATAGCACCGGCATAGCACTGGGATAGAGCGGGATTACACCGGGATAGAGCTTGATTGCACCGGCATAGGACTGGGATAGAGCGGGATTACACCGGGATCGCACCGGCATAGGACCGGGATAGAACGGATCGCACTGGAATAGAGCGGGAAAGCACAGGATAGGACCGGGACAGCACCGGGATAAAGCGGGTTAGGACCGGGATAAAACCGTTCAGGGCAGGATTGGACCGGGATAGAACCGGCACAGAGCGAGATAAAGCAGGATTGGACCCTGAAAGGACCGGAAAAAAGACTGGGATAAAACCTGAAATCAAACGGGATACGGCCAGGATAGGACCTGGACAGACCGGGATAGAAGCGGTATAGAACCCTGGCGGACCGGGAAAGGAGCTGGAGTGAAGCGGGTTTGACTCGGGCCAGGAGCGGGACCCAGGCTGTTCCGGGGCCGATGCTGCAGCTTGGACTCAGGTAAATTCATCGTGAACCCATTTATTCCCCAAAGGTCAGCGAGGCACTGTCTCTGGGAGGTTACACTGTGCTCTCTCCGTGTCTCTGTCTCTCTCTCTCTCTGTGTGTGTGTGATCCTGAACCTTCTACATTTCACCTGTAATCGCTACCACCCAATATCGCTCCCGGTTCCCGCTCAATGCCTATCGGCTGTGCCCAGCTCCATTGCCAGTGAATACCCCTTCCCGGGGCCAGGAGCTGCAAAGATCAAATAACCCACGCCCCCATACCCCGGCACCCTCCCACAGAGCTCCCCCTCCCCCAGATACCCTCTTCCTCCAACAGACACCCCCAGCACTGAACACAATCTCACACAGACTCACATACCCACACACACACACGCTCACATATTCTCACACTAAGAGATAACACGGTGTGGAGCTGGAGGAACGCAGCATTGGGAGTTCTTACTATCTCTGAGTTATACCCTCACACTCAGCCACACACATACTGAGTCATGCACACAGTAAACTTGTAGAAAGGCAAGATTTTTTGTTGCTGAATTCAAATGATGCATTTAGCCGGATTACCTGGAGGTGATGACCTGGTGGTATTATCACTGGCTTGTTCATCCAGAGACCCTGGGAACGTTCTGGGGAGCCAGGTTTAAATCCCACCACGGCAGATGGTGGAATATGAATTTGATAAAAATCTGGAGTTAAAGAGTCCATTGATGACCATGGAACTGCTGTCGATTGTCAGCAATCCAATCTGGTTCACTAATGTCCTTTAGAGAAGGAAACTGCCATCTGGTTC